TTTTGTTATGGCAGAGTATAAAAAGAGAGAACATACACATTCTATTCCAGTGTATATATGTATATGTATTTCTTTTTTTATTTTCACATCAAATAACACTGTGGTCTATAAATACTAGACTCATATATCTTATTTCTCATTATGCAAATAAACTATTCAGCAATGTTGGTTCAAGCTCTAGCTATCCTCTTCATCACACTGTCATTCATTGTTTTTGTGTTTCAAAACAAACATGATGGGAGAACTGCACCAGGTCCCAAACCCTTGCCAATTATCGGTAACCTTCATATGCTAGGAAAACTCCCACATCGAACCCTTCAATCTCTTGCAACAAAATATGGTCCCATAATGTCCTTAAAGCTAGGGCAGGTCCCAGTAATAGTGGTTTCTTCTCCACAAACTGCAGAACTGTTCCTGAAGGAAAATGACACTTGAACAACCATTTTTGACAACATTTAGACACGTGCACACGTGTCAAAATCTGAGTGGTCCATTTTCATTTAATTTTTCCAACTGGACCACTCAAATTTTGACACGTGTGCGCGTGTTTAAATTTTGTCAAAAATGGTTGTTCAAGTATCATTTTCGGTTCCTGAAAACCCATGACATTGTTTTTGCCAGCAGACCCAAAACCCAAGCCACAGAATTTCTTTCTTATGGCAGCAAAGGTATGGCCTTTTCTGAGTACGGTGCATACTGGCGCAACGCCAGGAAACTGTGCACTCTGCAGCTTCTGAGTGCCTCAAAGGTTGAGATGTTTGCTCCTCTGAGAAGACAAGAGCTGGGAGTGTTGGTGAAGTCGCTGAAAAATTCTGCAGAATCCGGTGAGGTTGTTGATCTGAGTCAGTTGCTGGGAGAGCTTATGGAGAACATCGTGTTCAAAATGGTGTTGGGGCGTGCCAAAGATGATAGATTTGACTTAAAGTTGCTCATTCACGAAGTGATGAACTTGATTGGATTATTCAATCTTGCAGATTACATGCCCTGGCTAGGCGTGTTTGATCCTCAGGTATCAAATTCAATCCCATATCTTGCATTCAATTTTCATAACATATGATGAAGTGGTGCAATATAAACATATAAAATAATCAGTTTTCTTATCATAAGTTATCAATTAATTATATATTAAATATTTTTTCATTAGTTTATTATTTATTTATTATATTCTCTATCAATAAAAAAATAATACATGTACCAAAATATTTTAAAAAATGTCTTAACCTATGATTCAGCACTGCACTAAACAACTCATGTGGAGTTTTGTTTTGTGGTGGATATATACAGACGATAGTATCGAGGACTTCCTGCTACAGCAATCCTTCACCGATCACTTACAACCACTACAAATACAAATTCCTATTTTTTTTTTCTTTATTATTATTATATTTCCTATCCTTATCATCCATGTTTTACAAAAAAAGTTCAACCGTGTCTTTCCTTTCATGTATTTTGTCTTTGTCCCACCTATCAACTATAAAACATTTATACTTTTATAAAACAAAATATATTTATTTTTCAAAAACAAGTTTGTATTAAACATTATTCTTAAAATGATATTAAAAAATTAAAATATAAAAAGAGAAAAAAAGAAAAATATGATAAATTACACAAAATTCATTGATAAAATTATATTATAGACAGAAAAAAAAATCCATTATATAAAAATTATGTCAAAACAATAATAAAGATAATAAAAACGGTTGTTTTTGAAGAATTTAGGATTAACTTTTTCTAACTTATCTTTGTCGAACTTTTTTTTTATAGTTTAAATTTGGTTTATCATTCTCTTCTATATTAATTTTCTTTTTCATATTAGTCCACTTAAAAGTTAATTTTAACTTTTTTAAAATATTAAATTTTGTTAGACATCAAATAGTTAGAAAGTATTTCCTAAATAAGTTTAGTATTGTAAATCTTGCAAATTATTAACAATAATAATTACATTCTTTAAAAGAGATATACTAGCTAAAAAATCAGACTCCCATTACTAAAAACATATAGATTTTTAAAGAAAAAAATATATTCCCAACACAAAATAATACCACAACAAATAGCACCATAATAAATTGAATCACATGTTCTACTGCAAACTCCACCACAAATTGAATCACTTGTTCTAGTACAATCCACCACATTTAAATGTTATTAGAATATATTTTAATATATATTATTAGAATATATTAATTGGTGTAGAGAGAATTTTCTTTTGTGCATTTTAATACAAACTTTAAACCGTTTTCATTTATTACATTTATCATTTATGTTTATTACCAGAAGCATTAAGCATGTGATTTAATTCTTATAGAAAATATTATTATTTGTGTTTACTGCTCTAGTTAGTTTTTCATATATATTTTGTCTAATGTAGTTCACAAAAAAAAATTATACCTTGTTCATGCTAGTGTTTATTTAACTTTTGCCATATTTATTATTATTAAATGAAATGATCTAACTTCATAAATAAACAAACCAAAACATTTGTCGGTCATATCCGTACAAAAGACATTATTGGCAATATCTTTTCACCCACCTACAACCAACCAATTTATTGCATTTGTAAAACATAAAAAATAAAATAATAAATATAAAGTGAATGTAAAAATTTATTGGATATAAAATTATATGTGCTGTCACTTTTGTTTTACACACATGAAACATTTGAGAAATTATCTTTTTATGTTTCACTAACCATTTGACAATTCAGTTTTAAGATAATATAATCATTAAAGCTATTAAACTTTGGTATAAATCATGATTAATTCACACCTATCCTTTTCTTTTTCTATACTCTAATTTACAACTACATAAATTATTATTTTAGTATACTATAATAAAATAAATTAATTAATGTGTTTTAGAAAGAATGATATTAAGGTTTATTTATCCCTTATACACGCAACAATCGTGCAGGGAATAACAAAAAGATTAAAGAAAACAGCAAAGTCGTTTGATGAGCTATTGGAACAAATAATCCAAGAACACGAAAGTAATCCATATGACGAAAATAAGAATCGCAAGATGGACTTTGTGGATATTTTGCTGTCACTCATGCATCAACCCGACGATTTTCAAGACGCCATTGATAGAACAAACGTGAAAGCTATCATATTAGACATGATAAGTGCAGCATTTGACACATCTTCCACAACAGTAGAATGGGCCATGTCACAACTCTTAAGGCACCCTTCTGTCATGAAGAGACTTCAATAGGAGCTAGAACATGTGGTCGGAATAAACAGACACGTGGAGGAAAATGACTTAGAAAAGTTGTCTTATTTGAACATGGTGGTGAAGGAAACACTAAGGTTACACCCAGTCGGACCTTTGTTGGTACCTCGCGAGTGTCGAGAAGATGTCACCATTGATGGCTATTTGATAAAGAAAAAAACAAGGGTTATGGTAAATGTTTGGGCTATAGGGCGAGATCCTAAAGTTTGGGATAGGGTTGAAATTTTCGACCCTACAAGGTTTGAGAATAACAATGTAGATGTTCGTGGAAAGGACTTTCGGATTTTACCATTTGGGTCGGGTCGAAGAGTGTGCCCCGGGATTCATATGGGTTTAATGACGATTAGTCTTGTTTTGGCTCAATTAGTGCATTGTTTTGATTGGGAGCTTCCATTGGGCATGTCTTGTGATGAGTTAGACATGGAAGAGATATTTGGGCTCACTATACCAAGAAAAAAACATTTATTAACTAGACCAGTTTATCGACTACTTGCTTAGGTTAAGAGAGGATACTAATGCAAAGCAAGGTCCATCTATATTTGTGGTTGATTTCAATTCCAATTTGAGACACATGATACATCAAATAAAATAATTTCAATAATCATTTTGATTTTGGATTTAAGTGAATAAGTTTCTTATCAATTCAATTCAATGGTTTAAGTCTAACTATTTTTGTTTTTCAAATTGCTTGTATTTTGTATAGATGAATTGCTTTTGTACATGTTACGCAATTAAGAGTGTTTAGGAATTTAAAATGAGTAAAAATTTTCATATTGATTAAAAATATTAGGATCATTACAACTATTGTTAAAATTATAGATGAAATTTTATCGACAAAAATACATGTGTCGGTAAATTCGTATCACTGAAAAAATTTATCGGTAAGTTTTTGAAATTCTAATTATGGGAGAATTTTATCGATAAATTTATTTTGTATGTAAAATTTGTAGGTAAATTCGCTAATAATATTTATTTCATTTATCAATGGTTTTTTTGTCTATAAATTAAATTTCTATTACGAACAAATTTTTTATCGATAAAATATGTCGAAAAGTCATCTCACCTCCGCCACAGACAACCAAATCATGTGATTGAGAGACGATCGCGAGCCCTGGATTGGCCCGCCACAGTGACGAGGACACCACTGTTGCAAGAACTTTGTTGCCTAGGAAGAAATAGCCTCCACTATCATCGTCTCCGATACGTTCTAATTACAATCTTCAATATGATTTTTGAACTTTCTTGTGGGTTTTCTCTTCTAGTTGAATGAAAGTGGGGTTTTAGTTATGCAGGATTCAGTTGGACTAAATATGTGTTGATTTTTTTGGATTGGGAAAGCTAAAAGAAAGAATAAGGAGCAAGGAGGAAGAAGATGAATCAGATCATGATATTTACCAACAAGGTTCCTTCGATAATTTCTGATAGATTTTTCCTTCAACGAAAATAAAATTTCATTGATAAATGTTACACACTATTATCGATGTATTTTGGCTTGCCAGAAATTCGTTTAAAAAAGTCATTATCAACGGATTTTTGACTTTTTCAATGAATTTTGGCTTTGAATAACACCTATTTTCTTGTAGTGGGTTAAATATGTTTTTAGTCTCCTAATTTTTATGTGAAATTGAATTTTGTCCCTGAGTGTTGAATCATTTTCATCCCAATAAATGAATAGATTTAATCGTTTAGTAACATGACAACGTTAAAGATTTACAACGTTATCACGTATATGTCCTGTGTTGACACGTGTGCAACTTTAGCATTTGTTGACACATAAGCAAATATTTAATGTTGTCTGATTATAGATTATAGTTCATTGATAAAATTTAAAAATAAAATTGATTGGTAATTTAAGATAGGTATAAAATCTAATTTTAAAAAAAATTAAGAAATTGAAAACATATTTAATTCTTTAATATTAAAAGATAATATATTTTTCTTAATTAATATTACATTATTTTGACTTGTTTAATAAAAGTATTCTACATATACATATGTTCTACATGTAAATATAAATTGAAGAATATTGTAACTAGTAGTTTATTTATTTATAAAAACATAGAATAAAATTAAAAATATAATTATTTAAAAATTTATTTTATTTATTTTAAAATTATGTATGTTTCTTAACTTATTTTCTTTCTTTTATATCTTTATATAATTTAAATGTTTGAACTACATTTTATTGTTTATAATATTAATATAAAAATTTATTTTTATTTAACTAAAAAGAAAATATCAATACCTTATTTTACAATTAATGGATAGAAATATA